AGGGCCGGCCTGGCCGATGTGGGGGGTGCTGGGGCGGTTCGTCGTGGCGCAAGCCCCGGCCCGGCGGATCGTTCTTCACACCGTGTCCGCGGGTGTGGCCTGCTAAAGGGTTTCCTGAAGGGGCAGGGGTGACTTGGAGGAGGATGGAAGGCCTCTGGGTGCCGGTTGTGTGGTGACCCTGGCCTGGGACTTACTCGCCCCTCCTGGGCTGGAGCTGTGGGGCTGCAGCAGGAAAGCCTGCACTGTTCGGGGGTACCGGCCTCCTCTTGTGCTACATTTAGGGGGTGTCTTGATTGTCCCAGCTGTCCCATAGGCAGCTATGTAGGAGCTGTGTAGCTTAGCCGTGTAGCTAAGTAGGCTCAGCCTTGCACCTTCTGGCACATCAACTTACTGCCTAGTTTGGGATTCCTAATAACTGTTTTTCTCTCTTGTCATCTTTCCAGCTGCAGGAGCCTTCATACCCCACGTTACCATGGCCACCCACTTCTCCAAGGATCAGGAGGAGAGAGTGCGTAGCAAATGGATTATCTGGGCTACTGCTGTGATGTGTGTCTCTGTAAAGAGACCTTTCTGTCCCCCTAATAACATGGCAGCTGGCTGTACCATGTAGCTTTTTGGAGGAAAGTGGCTGATATGGCTAAATTCCTTGTGCTTTTGTGCTTATGTTGGTGATGCAGGTACTGTACAACAGCACAGAGCTTACCTGCTTAACTAAATGGGATATCCAGCACTGACATGCTGATGGTGCGCTGAAGATGTGTGCTAGTCCAGTTATACTTTATTACATAATTTTCCTTTTTCAGCATTGATTTTGGAAAATTAACTGCTGAGCTGGCACATGGTGCTCATAACCGATCTTGTAGAAGAGATCGTCATATGTTGGGTTCATAATTCATACTTGTAAATTGCATCTTAAACTCTATGTTTTCCACTTGTTACTGTACAGGCTTGCCAAATTCCCTGTTACCTGAGTACTCTCTTACCAGAATCTGCAATCAGCTTGTTTTTATTTACCCTTTTTTTTGTGGTGTTTTCCAGATCAAGTGTGTTAAGGGGGACCTTTTCTCATGCCCCCAGACGGACTCCTTGGCTCATTGCATCAGTGAGGACTGTCGCATGGGTGCAGGCATAGCTGTTCTTTTTAAGAAAAAGTTTGGAGGAGTACAAGAGCTGTTGGATCAACGTGAGTGATACACGTGGGGTGGACATGCAGGAGCTGAAGGGAAAAACCCTGATTTCCAGCAGTAAGGGTATTCTAAGCTACTTGGGGTGCAGGGGGGAATTATGTAGTGGAGTGTAACTTTTAAAAATACCTTCTTCATTTTTTCACTTCAGAAAAGAAAACTGGGGAGGTGGCAGTTCTCCAGAGAGAGGACCGATACATTTACTACCTGGTAACAGTAACTAAACTGTGTTAGACTGTGTTAGACTATGATACTGAGGGCTTTAGTAGTTGTGGGGTTTTGTTTATGCTTTTCTAAACAAGGGGTGTGAGATGTATTACTCAAATACTGCTAGTTGAGGAGAAGCCAAGCTCTCTTGTGTACATATATTTAAACTTTAAATTGACAGAACTAGCTGCTAAATTATACTTTTTAAAGCTGTGAAACACCAGCTGTCAACTAAGCCCCACCCAGCTGCTTGCTTATTCCCCCCTGGTGGGATGGGGGAGGGAATCAGAACAGTAAAAGTGAGAAAACTCGTGGGTTGAGATAAAGACAGTTTAATAGGTAAAGCAAAAACTGCATACGCAAGCAAAGCAAAACAAGGAATTCATTCCCTGCTTCCCATGGGCAGGCAGGTGTTCAGCCATCCCCAGGATAGCTGCGCTCCATCACACGTAATGGTGACTTGGGAAGACAAATGCTGTCACTCCGAACGTGTCCCCCCTTTTTCTTCCCCCAGCTCTATGTGATGAGCATGACGTCATACGGTGTGGGATACCCCTGGGGTCAGTCGGGGTCAGCTGTCCAGGCTGTGCCCCCTCCCAGCTTCTTGTGGCCCCCCAGCCCACTCACTGGTGAGGTGGGGAGAGAAGCGGAAAAGGCCTTGACTCTACAACCCCCCCCCCCCCCCCAATAGAAAATGTTGGGGGGGGGGGGGGTGAGTTTCAGAGTTTTGTGGAATGTTTTTTAAAAAAATAAAAGTTTGCAGTGGCACAACCGACCTTTTGCATTTATACTTAGATTACGAAGAAGAAAGTTTCTCACAAACCGACATATGAGAACATGCGGAAGAGTTTAGAAGCCATGAAAGCTCACTGCCTAAACAATGGCGTTACTGACATTTCCATGCCTAGGTAAGAAAATTAGTTCCTGCAGTGTAAATACTTGAGTGTTTCTTGCGCAGAAGGATGTTGTGAGAGATGATCCCCTGCTGTGAAATAACAGTTCAAGTATCCTCTTCTATTTAGGTCTTCTGTTCAATTGTGCAAATGAAATTTGCATTTCCCAGTGTGATTAAATGATAGCAAACCATACAGGCTTGGTTGTTTCCTTAGGTTAACTGCATTATGTTGATTTATGGTAAGCTGAGTTAGTGCCACATAAAAGTGTAGCTGCTTGAAGGGTTAGCTGTTTATAGCATGCTCCAAAAGAGGCCATTACAGCTGTTTTGATGTCTTATTTTCCAGGATTGGGTGTGGACTTGACGGCCTGGATTGGAATAAAGTTTCAGCAATACTTGGGGAAGTGTTTGAAGACACAGATATAAAGATCACAGTTTATACTCTGTGAACAAAAGAGTTCAGAGAGCCCCATTTCTCTTGCTTTCAGGAGTGGAAACCTGTTAACTGATGAGGGGGGAAACTGCATGCTGAGCACATTCTTCGTCTGAGTGTGGCTCGCTCTTGTGTTGTCAGTAGCAGTGGGTTTTAAAAACAACCACAAAAAAAAAAAAAAAAGGGTCCAAG